GGCCAGCTTCATGTACGCTGCAATCCCTGCGATGCTTCTATATCGTTCCTATGGATACATGTCTAAGGCCATCAACATTGTACTCATGATGATAGCTGGTTTATTTGTTAATGGGCCATATGCACTCATCACAACTGCAGTCTCTGCTGATCTTGGGACTCATTGCTCTCTAAGAGGAGATTCTCGAGCATTGGCAACAGTTACCGCTATTATTGATGGTACTGGATCTATTGGTGCTGCTCTCGGTCCTCTTTTGACTGGATTTCTTTCAACAAAGGGCTGGGATGCGGTTTTTGTTATGCTAACAGTTGGAGCTTTCACCGCGGGTCTCCTTATATCGCAGCTTGTTGTAACTGAACTTAAGGAGAAATTTTGTAACCAGATGCCCAGTAGACAAAATGATCTTGCAGGTAACATCTTCTTTCTTTTATACTTCCTGAATTCTTTCTGCTTGTATGCGACCGTTCCTCATTTTCATGTCATTTTTCCTAACATTGATAGAAGAACATATATAATCCAAGAACTAGGAGAAAAAAATTTGCATTCCTCAAATACTATACTTGTGCTATACTGAGTTTTTGGTGAAATAAAACTTGCTTTTATGTTTTTAATGTTGTGTTGGAGATTGTTGTTTCATTTGCTTATGATTTTTATTCCTTTACTATGTGATACTGTGAGATTAATAAACTGGAAAGCTGGCAGCGTGGCATTGATGCATCATGCATGTAAAAAGAACAATATTCAACATTATTATATGCATTTTCTTAAACACCATATAATATCTTCTTTATATTTAACTAATAGGAAAGTGTGACAAGTAATGTCAAGATCTAACCTCTGTGCCCAAGCCGTTAACTTACGTACTATTTGTTTTGGGAGAGTCTAAGCCTATCTTATCTCTCACGAATTTCTATTGCGTTCTCAGGATTTAAATCCAAGGCGTCTACTTTATAAGAGATTTAAGTTGAATCTTGGTATCAATTGTCACGGGGGATGTGACAGAAAGCCGTAAGGGGTAAGAGGATGTTCTCCCAAAGCGGACAATACGTATGATATAACAGCTTGGGTACAAGGTTGGGGTCGTGACAAGTAAATTCTTGACTAGTGTGTTTAACATACAGGAATATGTAGCGAACAATTGATTACATTCTGGTAGAGCATCTGGAGTGGCTTGAGGTGTCGTCATAATGGAAGATGGACTTTTCATGGCATCTTTAGTTTCTCGGACTGTTAACTCTGGGACAGGCTTGAAACGCCAGGTATTTTGATACGTCTAATATCAAAAAAGGATGAACTTCTGCATAGGTTTAAGGTCTTATCTCCTGTAATATAGACTACATACAGCCAGGTTTTTGAATTTAGGTGACCTTGAACTTTAGATTTGACTTGAATCGGTGTGAATTGTTCTACTTAGCCTAGAAAAATGAATCCGTTTGAATGTAAGAGTTGGGCTGATGAATGATCAGACTCCAAAGAGGTTCACTTTTCTGAAGCACATTATGGCAAGATGACTTGTATGTAGCATGAGGAAGTATTTCTAGGTGTTCTGTGATTAGGATAGGCGAGATGGAATGTGGTGAATCAGACAAACTACAATTAGCATTTCCTACAGTTTCCTTTGTGATTGAGGAGGTGCTGGATAATTAGGATCAAGTGAAACATGGAGGTTCTATAGATGTAAAGTTGTTTAACATTTACATATTGCACACTTTGCTAACGGGTTACTTATCACTGAAGAAGACAAAATATCATGGGCAGAAAATGCTTTCACGAATATTCTGTAGGTTGGCTTGGTGTTCAGATCTAGAAATTAGATTTAGGTGGATGACATGGGGTTACTGTATGACTTAGACAATTTTTTTCCCTCTTGGCAAGGGGTGGGACAATCCAGTACTTTTGAGTTCTTTGGAAAATTTAAGATTTATGGGGGAGAAAAGGGATTGCCAAATTTTCTGCTTGGCCTCCAATTATCAAGAAGCGACTTGCCCCTTCTTTCCATCGCTTTTTTGATTCATTATTCTTTTTCCATTTTGGTTTTAGATATAAAGAAAGTTCTCTAGCAACTCATACAGGTATCGTAGAAGAACCCTCACAAGCAGCAGTAAAGTATCAAATGCATGATTTTTTTTCTTTTTTACATTAGCGACTGATAATATGGCCTAATTGTCTGTGTTTGCTAATTGTAGTATTTTTATTTCATTCCGGATCTTGGTAACAATTGGAAATGATTGTGAGTTGAAACACTAGATGATTACAGATATTGGATATTATTCATAGAAAATCATCTACAGTGTTGGCCATCTTATGAAATTTTGGTGGCTACGATGGACCCTTTTCTTTTTTCAGTTTGAGAAATTTAAATAATAGTCAAAAGAATGCGAACTTAAGTTGCATACTGAGTTTTTCCTAATTAAAATGGTCATCTGGGGGAAGTATGTACCTTGCTTATCTCTTCTATGCCATGGATTACCCAGTTCAAAATTGTGCATGGACAAATTTTGCATGTTCGACTTTGTATGACGGAGAGTTCGGGCTTCTCAGCCACATTTTGAGTTAATGCATCCTTTTCTGTTTAAAAATTTTCTCAGATCTTCTGTAGAAGTTCTGCTCTATATATATCATCTTTCGTTCACGGATAGGGAATTAGTGCATATGGTTATTATGATTATAGCTATATTTTCGTGGCGAAATCTGTGGACTTGATTGAGCAAAATCTACTCTTGCAGGTCCTGCATCTCATCCCCTCTTGAGTGAAAGGAGATGAGCATATATCCTTCTGAAGCATCACAATTTGGATATCAAGTGAATCGGGAATAGAAAGTAAACATTCAAAAGTTGACTTTTTTATAATTCTGAAACTGTTTGTAATAGCGTGCAAGGGAAATGCTAATTCCCTTCAATTTTAACTTTCATCTGTTGTACAGGTTTGTGGATTTATGTATAAATAATTCTTTAAGTGAAGAAATGGCAATTAAATTGACGCAAAGAAGTTAAAGAATCACAACTTAATAGATTGAATCAGATTTGATCTGATAGTAAAAGAAATATATAATAAATTTTTTCGGCAGGGAGGGATGAACCACGTGTATATAACCAGACCGAATTTGAACTCATTCTTAAAATATTAAACGTGATGTGTTTATTAAGTTAGACGCAACATGATATTACTCAATTCGTTAATTCAACATAATATTAAGCTCTTTCATATGTGCTCTATATATAGAGAGAGATTTTGTTTCCGACCAAGAAAGAGGTCTTGGATCAATATGAAATGTCACGCTTGTTGATACGACCCTCTAGCTACCTTCCTCGTTCACCATCAAGGGATTTTCCTAAAGCCTTGCCTCTATTCATTCAAGTATTGTCCCACCAGTCGTCGAAGTCATTTCTATCTCTCGAGCCATGCCCTCCACCCTAGGCATGTGAAGGGTCAAGAGGCTTATTAGGGTTTTGTTTCTTCAACCTTCCAACCATTTGTGCAAATTTTCAAACAAAGAGTGCTCTTTTCGAGTCTTTTCCAAAACCCCAAGATGAAACTTGTTGGTGATTGTAATTTGTAAATGAATAAATTTCCAACATAAACTCTTCGATTTCGATTTAAGCTTTTATATAAGATGGATTAAAGTCCATTCACTCCTTTCAATTCCGAACCATATATGAAATGGGTTTGAAAGACACGATTACAATGGACCGCCCATTTTTACAAAGAAATTGTAACAAAAAATTGATATGGAAGATGACTATTTTAACTATACTCCTAGCTTTGATGAGAAGCCTGATCCTGAGATTATCAAAGGGTCTCATTATTTCTTGGTTGTTTCTCTTTGCAATTGTTCCACCGTCATGATCTATTCTTGGTATTCATGCTCGAATCAACAGATTGATAACACATTCGACTATTTTCAAGCTTCCTCATTTCATGAAGTTGTAATTTTAGGTGTTGCTCATGATTTCAAGTGTTTTAAGTTCGCCGAAAAGAGTACAAGAGATGAGGTGAAGAGGACTGCCTAGAAAAATGGTGAAAAACTACCATGGCAAGTGGACCTGAGGTTAGTGAAGAAGGCAAGGATATAGTGATCCTTTCCTTTTCTTTTTGACTTTTCTGCATTCTTCATTCTTAGGTTCTAATTTAAATGAAGGTAAAATAATCATTTTCCAGTTCACTACTTCACTAAAGGACTTGTCACGGTGTCACATTGTGACACGTAAGCAAACACGCTAGAATGTGGTACCACAAAAGCTCTAAATAATAAGAATTTATTCATCGGATAGGTAAAATCTCACCAAATAGACAACTTATTCACCTGATACCATATACAAAACAAATAAATGGCAAAAATCAACAATTTCGGTCCATTGCAAACCAAAATGAATTCCAAACTAAGAACGACAACTTCTATTTTCACAGTAAAAATGAAATAGAAGTGAAAATTTTAACTTGGATCAAAAACAAAAATCTTGCTGAAACTAGTTCCATAACACTTGAAAACATAGTACTTGACAATGCCCAAACCAAATTTCACTTCTTAGATTACAAAAATGATGTTTCAAAGTCTAGATGAAATAGCAACAAACCACATTCTTACCACTCGAATACTAGAGACTTCTAGTGGAGCTGAGAACACATTTAACAGACTTACCTACATTGAAGGTTCCCTGTGCAATACTCGTACACAAGAAACATTTCGATCCTGAAATTTTTTTCGAAGTGGTAATTTAGGCTATGATGCAGCTGAAACGGTAGAAATATACAAACAATATGTACAAATTCTGCATTTACCACACTAAAGAGACAAACCTATGCAAGGAGCATCCCCCAATTTCATAATTTCATTTAGGATCCTAAACCGATTCACGTCTCTCAGAGCATTGTATTCAACAAAATGCCAAGCCCTCCCAAAACTTGAAAGTGATTACAGACATCAATGCTTTAGGAGAATGAACGGATGGAACAAATAAAGGGTAAGACAACTCACCAAACTTGGTTTCCATCTATCAATCTAGTATAGGTTGTAGGAATTCCCAAATTCATCACTCCTTTTATGCTGAAAGTCGCTGCAAGTGACGTGAGGTCTTGAAGGATAATTTTCCATAGAATTTGGGTACCTTCCCGTTGACTCCATCGGTATATTGGTTCCAGGTCCGGAATAGTGAGCATTGCCTGAAGAATTATCATACTCTGGATAACTAGGTTGTCTATAATTACTAAACCCAGAAGCTGAAATATGCTGGCTTGCACGTTGTCTCCTCTGGACGTCAGCTTGAAGAAAATGTTGCCACTGTTTTGCCTGTGCACCCCTGAGCATAGCCAGTTTCTTCATGTAACCCTCCCTAATTTCTCTGACAGCCTTAAATTTGAAGAACCCAATATGTAAGGAGTCAATGGCCGCATAGTCAAATTCAACAAAAAGATAAGGCAGCTCTCTTCCCCACCCACCTTTAATGGGAAAAGACGTTAAGCTCAATTGTATTTTATATTTATTTGAAAAGAACAAGAAAAGGATGCACCCTGCCACATAGATATGCATCCCAAAAAAAGCTATTGTGCTTGGACATCATTAACTGAAATAGAAACAATATAATAGAATGTAACAAACCTCACGATGCTTTTGAATTTCATCATCTTCTTCCTTGTCTCGAATTCTCGCAAGATCCATTGCTTCCCTTTTATATTCCGATTCTATTTCCTCAAAGGTTTGGGGAAATGCAGGATATTAAAACTTATGGCAAGATTGCATGTCAGACCCACGTCTGTCAGCATCCAATCCATCGAACCTGTAGGACCCTCTGCTCTGACTGTGACCATCATATGAATTATATGGGTTTCCCAAGTAAGAAGGGAGTACTGGAGACCTTGAATGGCTTGATCGACCTCTATCACCATCATTACCATAAGCTTCACCAGAGGAAGAGCGTGTTAAGCACTTCCATTCAAGATCTCTAACAATGGAGGCAGCTTTAACATGATACGCTATCTTAAATTCTCATAGTGAATCCAATCTGAGGCAAATGAGTCTCCATATGCTCAGTTAAAAAAATTATTTGGAGACCACCCTTCCAATTCAACCAAAGATATATCTTTCAGAATGCTTGAACATAAGAACTAACCTCTTTCGGCAAAGAATATGATAAGAAACAAGCAGTATAAAGAAAAAGATGGAACGGCTGAACAGAAAGAACATATAAAACGATACACCCTTATGAGATTGTAAATTACAAGAAAGAAATAATCCTCTCTTCACGACAGAACAAATGTACCCCGCTTTGCCAACCTTGCAGAGAGCCCCTCGATAATTTTTGCAAATCTTCATGAACACAGTCTTCCACATCCTTCTCCTGTCTTCCAGATCTATGTGGGACCCGCAAGGCATTATGTGGACTGGGATTGGATCTTTGAAAATTAGAGCGTACCGACCATGAGCTTACAGTACTCTTGCGTTCAGGTGACCTGGACCTGGAAATTGGGGAGCCAGAGGAATGCTTATGCTCACCCTCTTTTTTAATTTTATGAACAGCATCAACACCTTTTTTCAAGACCAACCTATCCTTGCCACTGACAATGATAAATTTTTCCTCAATTTTTATTTTGCATCCTATTTCCTTTTCAATCTTGTCTACTACCTTTTCAGTGAATAATGCTTTCACATGAGGATCTCATGCAGGCACCCGCTCAAAGAAATCTTGAGACTTGCGATTCGCTCCAAGAGTAGAAGGACAACCCTGAAATAAATCATTCAGGCATAACACATAAATAAAAATTATCCATAGTAGCACACGTACACATGCGCAATAATTTTGGAGAGCGGCAGGCACAACACCATTAGCAATGACATTAATCGCTTCTATCGTTGGTAACAATTAAGTTGAAAGGAAAGTGTACTTTAAACACCAAATTACTATGCTAAAATGCCAAAACGTGAATAGAAATCATAGGAATTAACTCATGTTCTTGAAGTGTTATTCTATTTACTTTAAGAAAATTTATAATCCAATTCATGTGTTTTAATTTCACACCAAATTACTATGCTAAAATGCCAAAAAGTGAATAGAAATCATAGGAATTAATTCATGTTCTTGAAGTGTTATTCTATTTACTTTAAGAAAATTTATAATCCAATTCATGTCAATCATGTGTTTTAATTTCAGGTTTTTTATCCAAATGATGAATGGATCTCCTTAAAAAAAAAAAAAATTATTTGGCCGTCGCCACAGTGCTGGAACTCTGCAGGAATGGGCAGAATGCTGGCACCGCAGCGCTGGTCGCGGTGTAAAGGAATTTTCAGCCTTTTGGACTCTTTTCTAGCCCATTCAAATTCAAATCTTCTGCGGACTTTAAAGGGATGAAAAAGACAACTCTAAAGAACACTTTTTGGAGAGCAATCAAGGAGGAAAAACAAGAGGAGATGACCTACAATTCCATGGAGAAATAAATATCTTGATGAAGCTAGGAAGGAACCCAATTGGATTCGGTGATTTCAACATTATTTGATTTAGATTTTCATTTTAAACAATTCTATGGTTTAGATCTTCTTTTCATAAAAATATTTGAGATTGGCTAAACTTTTATTAAATTCTTCAAAGATACGGTCACGCTTTAAGAGAAAATTATTGAAATATTCGTTTAAGTCTTAATCTCATTTATCTATTTTTATTGGTGTGATTCATTAATGCTTTAAGCCTAAAGTATATGGTTGTTTTTTAATCTTATTCTAATAAACAAAAGTGTGAATGTTGTTGTAGGAGGGTTAACCTTTAGAATGACAATTGAATTATAATCTGGTTTTAATAACATTTCTTCCGATTAGAGAAACTAGGTTAAACATCTCTAATTGAGTTGAATGTCCCAACCCAACTGAGGAAATTCTAACACTTCACTACTTCAAACCTTGATTTTATTTTCATTCAAACAAATAAATTTTTTTCACACATTCAAAAGAAGATTCATCTTTCGGATCCTTTAAGTATTTTTGACTATCTCCCTATGGAATCGACACTCCAAAACTGTGCTACAACTAAAAATGAATTTTAGCAGGGAATTTTTTTTTCTCAACTAGCACTGTATCATGACAAATTAGTAGACTCTATGTTTTTCATTTTCATACACCATTGGCAGTTTGATCCTAAGCATGCATACCACTTCCCAGGCAAAAAATGCTGACTATAACCTATTTGGGGATTGTTGGCAAATCTCTTATAAGAAATTGAACCCATTGACTTCAATATGTACATGCCTTCAACATGCATATCTTTATCCCCACCCCCTCCACCTGCTCTCTTCCTCTGTCCTTTTCCAGAGACTAAGGTCGGCTCCCTTGGCTATGAGAATTTGGAAGAAAAGCAGAAAAGAAAATCCAAGCAGCTCAACTACTTCTCTTAGCATATCAAAAAAAGGTTCTCTCATTATGTGACCATAACAATCTAAAACAAAGGAAATGCAGAGAAGGTACCTGAGTGAAGTGGCCTGACTCTCCACATAATTTACAGATCATTTCCTCTTCTTTCCTTTTCTTCCAGTTCCTCTCAGTAGCTTTAGATTTAGCTTCCAAAACCTTAGCTTCTCGGCTAGTAAAATCAGTTGGGACAGCATTAGATTCACAGGCTTCCTCTTCCTCATCCGAACCAGAATCGGATCTTTTTCTGGTTGTAGTGCTGTCTTGTGCATTGGTTGCATTAGGATTAGATCCCAGAGGCCCAGTATACGCCTTATAAATTTCACTAAAATCATCATCAATGTCCACCTATACCCTGCCAGCCATCTCAGCTTCACTTAACTAATTTCCTGCCAGAAGAAAAGATTAGAAAGGTCAAATTGATAACAAACAGCGAACTGGGAAATGTTCATAATATGCAATCAAATCATCTCATGCATGAAACCAAGTCCCAGTAAATGTCATCACATTCAGCATTTCGCGCTGTAACTTGTCCTTCAGCCAATATTTTTTTCTGGCACTATAAGTACGTACACACTACACACAAACTAAAACTAAAACTAAAAAAATCTCTGAAAGAAGATTGAGAAAATGAAATTTGAGAATTTATTGCGAAGAGATGCAATGTATTTAAAGAAAGACGCTATGCGCTTACCGTGCAAAATTCAACAAAAAATGGACCATGTCAAAGGGAAATTTGGAAACTCAAACACCAAGAATTTTTTTTAAGACCAATTTTCCTATTAATAATGTCTTGGTCACTTAAAAAACAAATATCGCATTCAGCGATACTCTCACAAAATGCTATTTAGTCTGTCCTCTCGAGTCTCAACTAAACAGGGCTTACCTACAATTATCCTCGAATATCATAAACTGATTCTCTTACTTTATTGATATTTTTTTTTTCAAAATGATAATAAGGCATTGGTTATAGTTTACACTTTACATGCCTTGCTAAAAAGCTATTTGTGTGGCTAAAATTTCTTGTTTTGCTTAGTCAGACTTTTTACTTTTGTAAGATATCTCTTTAGTTTCTGGAAACCTTATGTGCATAAAGTGCTTTTGTCAGAATCGCAATATTCCTTGGTAAGCAAGGGGTGCACTGAAGTAATCCAGCTTTCATATTTCTCAGTCTCTGTACTTCGCAGGGAGCATTGAGCTAAATATAATGAAGCTACAGACTGAAGCAAATAAAACTACCTATTACTCTAAGCTTGTATTGTCAAGATGACATAAAAATGGAATTTGACACTAATTGAAATTGATATTGCAATTCGCCGAAAGAAAAAAAGGCCTGATAAACTAAGTTTGATAATTGGAATTCGTGAAAATATTATTAAAATGCGCTTAACGCATAAAATCAATCAGATTTAAACTTAAATTAAAAATGAAGAACGAACACATAAGTTTGACACCCATTTTTTTAAGATAAAAATTTTTAGAATAGTGATTGATGGAAGAATGTGTGGTGGAAAAGTTATAAAAAGTTTTAGATTTGTGTGTAATATTATTTTATTGGAAGAATGTGTGGTTGAAATGAAGTAAGAGAAAAAAAAGGAGAATTAGAATGAGATAGAGAATGGGTGTCAAACATGG